ATCATGGAACTCCGGAGGAAAGGATTTAACAGGCAGAGGAAGTGACCGTCGAAGGCCCCACCTGGACTCTCTCTGGACGCTTCAGTCTCTTAGGAGTGATCTCTGGAGTCAGGGAGAGGCTCAGACTCCACTGTGAGAACTTTACCAGGCAACCACCACTCTATGGGAGGCTTTAGTGGGTCAATGGTAGAATTCTTGCCTTCCATCAGGGAGACCTGGGTTTGACTACTGCCCCATGCACCTCATGCACTGCCTCGTGTACTCCTCTCCTTCAGCAGAGACTTGCATGTTGCCATGATTCTGGGCAGGTCTCAACAAAGCCGACCAAGATGCCTGGTGATCTACTTCTGAAGACCATCAGTCAGTAAAAGCCCTATGGTTCAATCTATGAACTGACTGTAAAGTTGGTGCAGGACCTGGTAGCATTCTGTTCTGTGGTAAACGAGGCTGCCAAGACTCAGAGGCCAATGTCATGGTTGCTCTGAACAGGGCACTTTCAAAGGGGAGTTCAGGCCAGTCCAAAGGTCTTTACAAATTCCCTCCCACAAAGAATGTTGAAACAAAGGGCAAAATGGCTCACTTAAGTCCAGTGTTACCCTGATCTTCCCCAAGACCATTCTCATTCTCATCCAGACACAAATGAGCCAGTGTCTTAAACACTCCTTTGAAAAACAGCAGTATGTCAAGCACCTTCAAACCCACACCTGGAGACAGCTCTAGGTTGGTGAGCTTGTGGGTTAATTTTTATTTCCCTCTTTACATTTTCTGTTTTCCAAACATTCTAGAAAGGGCACATATGACTTTTGAGTACAGAAAGTGTAAATTACCAGAAAGCCCATAATGGGCTACATACCTGTAAAAAAGCCACACAGTCTCCCATTCAGAGATTGAACAATAGCTATTGTGAGGTTTTATAGCCCTGTTTGACAGCATGCATTATTCATTATGTTTTCATTTACCCAAGTGGACAGAGATCAAAGAATAGTAGTCACCAGGGGTGGGTGGGAGAAATGAAGACAGAATGCTTTGGGGACACTGAATTTCTGTTAAGAGTGATGGAAATTTTTGAGAAACAGTAAGAGTGATGGTTAAACATGATGAATGCCCCTGAACTATGCAATCGTTTTGTTACCTGTATATTTACTTAAATGGAAAATGGGTTGGAAATTTAAGTCATCGCCAGCAACAATAGCAACACTCAATAGGACAATAAACAACAAAGGCTGACAAGGGTGTGGAAACATTGGAAGCCTTCTACACTGCTAGTAGGAATGTAAACTGGTGCAAACACTCTGGGAAAGAGTTTGGCATTTCCTTACAAAGTTGAAAATAGAAAATCCATTTAATCCAGCAATTCTACAATAAAGTATATATCCTGAAGAATAAGAGCCACAACAGAAACAGATAAATGCACACTTATTCCCTGCAGGATTACTAACAGTAATCCTGTAATGAGTGATGGAAACAGCTCAAGTGTTCTAAAGTAATGAAACTATGGTGCATCCATACACTGGAGTACCACACAACATTGAGAAACAAGGAAGAAGTCATGAAACACGGCATAAGATGGCCAAATCTAGAGGACATTATGCTGAGTGAAGTAAATCAGTCACAAGAGGACAAATACTGCATAAAACTACTGTTAGAAAAAACTCAAGAAAGGTTTCCACACACATAAAATCACTTTAGTATAGCTACCAGGGAAAGAGAGAGGAGTAAAAAAAATTAATAAATAGATAATAAACACTTATTAGGATGGGTGAAAGGAATGGCAAGATAGAATAAGGGAATGTTGAGGTATTGAGGGTATAGTAATTAATGTTATGAAACAAAAAGTGTATGAATGATTGATTGAAAACCCAATATATTTTGTAAGCTTTCACTCAAATAACAATTTTTAAAAAGGAAAAAGTGCTAAAAATTAAGTTCCCTCTTTGCACGGCCTCAGTAACTTTGTCATTTGCCTGGAACATTCTAGAGAGTGAAGCAGGAAGGCTGGGCGTGGGGAGCTAAGCTGAGGGTGCAGTTCAACTTCCACAAACAGGTATTCTTCTAACATGCACAAAAGCACTTATTTCCATGAGCCCAAGTTAAGAATGTGACTGTCCCCTTGGAATTTCCAGAGTAAGAAAAGAAGATTTCCGAAAAAAAAGGAAAAGAAAGTATGAAAAGGACTACAAACCAGAGAAATGGCTGAGACGGGATCCGAGGCCAAGTTTCAGCACTTTTCAGGCTCACTGTCAAATCCTTGCCTCAGCTAAGGGTGCAGCAAAGGAGCCCTTGTTCCCACAGAGTGGATGCCGCTGCCCTTCCTTCCCAGCTCTGTCCCACTCACAGGCATAGTTGTCCCTTCTCCTCACAGAAACCACCTTCCTGTCAAGCTCATTTTGTTCCCATGTGTCTTAGATCCCTGCCAAGCTGCTTGGCTCCAGGTTGCCAAGCCTAGGGCCCAGTGTCCTATAAATTCTGAAACTGGATTAAAGGAATAGCATGACTTACACAAGAATGCAGGAAGCTGAAATGGTACTTGAACTAGCACACAACTCCTAACTCAAAACCACAGCTCAGTAGCCAGCCGTGCTCCAGGATCTCCGGGATGCAGAGTGGGGTGAAGTTGACTCAGAGCTCACAGAGACGGAAGGATGCCCAGGAGGAAAGGCCCAGGGGCCTGGTAAAGTGGAGAGAGTGTCCAGAGGAGGATGAGGACATGCATGGGCCTGGGTGTAAAGGGTCTGGAACTCTAAACTAAAGAATCTGGACTTTACCTAACACACTGAAGCCTCTTGGTCTTTCAGATTTCAAAATCCACCAGAAGTTCAAACACCTCCTCTGCATGGCTAGCTGTTTATTTTGCCAAATAAAGACAGTAAATCCAGACCCAAAGATTCAACATTAGCTACCATTTCCTATGAGCTTCATTTCACAGAAAGGCAGTCTAATAAGGTCAAAAGGATACAATCCTGAATGAAAGAGTCCTTCCTTAGACCACATAACAGAGGCAACCTTCTGCTGATCAAATGCCCATTGCGTCGTCCTTGCCGTCCTCATTTCCCCACAGACCTGTGAGAACTCCCTCACAACAGGTTCAGGAGCCATAGCTGCGGGCAGGAGTGACGGCACAGCTCAGACCTGAGCACCATGCTTATTCGTGGCATCCAAAATACCAAGTGTGCTTTGTTTACCGAGCCAAAATGACAAAGAGAGATCAAGTTTGCTTCTGGTCCCATCTGTGATTCCTAAAATGTAATGTGTGTTTTGTTCACTGACCGCAAAAAAATCAAACCAGCTATGCTGCACTGAAAAATAAGGAACTCATGCAATATTATTCAAAATGGGTAACCCTGGAGGACATTATGCTGAGTGAAGTATCTCAGTCACAAAAGGACAAATACTGCATGGTGCCACTGTTGTAAAACAGGACTGACCTCGGGGTTGGGGGGAGACTGAGAAAGATGGGATAAATAATGTATACTGCATTGAAACAGATGAGGGAGAAAACTGTTTAAAAGGGATATGTGATTAGGTATTTCTGTCATCACAGGAGTCTAGAGCGAAGGCTACATGGTGGAGGGGACCTGGGGGAGGGGATGTAAAACAATGAAAAAATTTATCTTTTACTTTTCCAAGAGGATAGTGTACTTGGGGGGAGAGTTGTGAGGGGAGAGAAGTGCAACAATGAAAGAATGGAAATCTAAAGTGTCTGTAAATTTTCATTGAAATTAATAATAAATTTTTTTTAAAAAGCTACTAAAAAATAAATCAAACCAGGTGAAGTCCATGACAGTGGCAGACTGGGTTACAGTGCATGAAGCACAATCAGGCATGGCTAACGCTTCTCTGGGTGTGAGGAGGTGTATGTGTTGATTTGTGTCCCCTAAAAAGATATACTGAAGCCCTAACCCCCAATTGCTGTGAATGTGACCATTATCGGGTAAAGCAGAGTCTTTGCAAATACAATTAAGTTCAAATGAGAGTATGCTGCTGTTATGTGCCATCGAGTTGGAACAGACTCATAGCTGACCCTCCAGCGGGTTCTCGGAGGCAGTAAATTGCAAGCGAGACTGCTCATCCTTCTCCTACTGAGCAGCTGACAGATTTGAACCTCGTGCCTTTGGGTTGGCAGCACCACTCCTTAACCACTAGGCCACAAAGCTTCCCTCCATGAGCATATTAGAGTTATGAATCTTAATTGTCTTGTGTCCTAATAATAAGAGAGGACACACAGAGATACACAGGAGAAGGTCTGTGTCACAAGTCAGAGATGGCAGTGAGGATGCAAGCTTGCCAGAAACGCCAGCAGCCAGGAGAGAAGCAGGGAGGAGTTTCTCCCTCAGAACTTGCAGGAGGAGCCCGCCTGGCTGCACCTCACTGTGGGCGCTGAGCTTCCAGAGCTGTGAGAAGATACACTTCTGTTCTTTTTTAAAATTTTTTTAATTTTATTATGGTGTGTATGTGCACCATCAAATCAGATCCAACTGGTACAGGAAGAGATTGCCTCTCCTTTTCCAGTACAGCATCTGGTGGATTCGAACTGCATGCTTCTGGGATTGCAGTGCAGCTTTTTTCCACTAGGCCACCAGAGCTCCCTACACTTTTGTTCTTGTAAGCCTCCTACTTTGTAGCATTTTGTTACAGCAACCCTTAGAAACTAATACACAGAGAGAAGCTTCCATGTTGAGTGTAAGAGCAGTGAGACTTCTAAAAAGCATATTGCTCGCTCATTTATGTCTACGGGGCTTGAATGTGCATGTGAGTCTTCAAGATACAGCGTCTACCAGATGGATTTGACCGTGGAAAATTCATCCTGAAAACTCAGAAGTTGCCCGGTGCACATAGTTCTGAGGCTGACTCCTCACTAGTTAGCAGGTGCAGCCTCTCTGGACTGGTCTCCCAATGGCAAGGCTGAGACTAGAGCAGAGCAGCAGGACAAGCACAGAGGGGCATCAGCAAGGGTGAGCAAACCAGCACATCATGCACCGCCCTGCAAGCAGCGTCCGTACCTCGAGGTCGGAGTTGATGGAAGAGACCTCGGAGGAGCTGCTGGAAGACACGCGGGCCCGGATCACCTGCACGGGAGGGTATGAGGGGGGCTCCTGCAGGGAGAGGTCTCCAGTGCTTGTCTGTCCATCGCCAGGGAGCCTACTGGCACTGCAGCTCACCTGTGGGCAAGCAGAAAGGGACAATTAGTCCATCGCTTTATTTTTTAATTGCCAAACACATAGCTCACTATTCAAGAGATACAAAAGAGGGTGTACTGAGTAGTCAGTCTTCACACTGGGGAGCTCTGGTGGCCTAGTGGGTAAGGAGTCGCTCTGCCAACCCAAAGGCTCACAGTTTGAATCCACAAGCTGCTCCACAGGAGGAAGATGGGTAAACAATGTACAGCCTCTGCAATCCCCATGGAGAGTCAGCGGTGACTCAGAGCTGACTTGATGGTACCCAACGTCTTCACCCTCAACCCTCAGTCATCCACTTCTCTTCCCCTCAGAGCCAGTCAGTGCTGGCAGTTTCTCAAGCATCCGTTGGCAGATCCCACGTATGGATTTTAATCTACACACACACACACACACTGAATACAACAACTGGTTGCCAGTGAATTGGCTTTGATGCACGACAACTTCATGTCTGTCCGAATAGACTTGTGCTCCAGAGGGTTTCACCAAGCTCAGTTTTTGGTAGTACGTCAGCCAGGCCTTACTTCCGCGGCACCTCTGGGAGGACCTGAATCTCCAGCCTTTCAGTCAGCAGTTTAGAGTATTAACTGTTTGCTCCACCCAGGGACTCCACGTGCATCTATAACCCTAAACCTGTTACTGTTGAGTTGACTTTGATCAGTGATACTACAGAACAGAGTGGACCTTTCCCAGAGGTCTCCAAGGCTGCAAATCCTCATGGAATTAGATTGCTTTCTCCTTCTTCTACAAAGTGACTGGTGGGTTTGAATCACAGACCTTCAGGCAGCAGCCCAACACTTAGCCCCTGTGCCACCAGGGTTCTTTCCTCTCCCTACATCCACGAGTGCTAGACTCTCCCCACTCTCTTGTGTACCTCACCTTTTGCATATAACAATAGGCTTCAGCATCTGTTCTAGATCAGAATATTATTTATTGTTGTATCTTCATATTTCACCTCAGACTCATGGTACTGGAGTTGGAACCAACTCACAGCTGGACCTCCAGTGGGTTCAAGGCTGTAAATCACATGAGAGGAGATTGCCCTCCTTCTCCCAAGAAGCTGCTGGCGTATTTGAATCTGCAAAGAGGTGTAGCCTTTGGATTAGCAGTGCAACTCCTTAGGGACTAGGCCACCAGAGTACCCTTGTTGTTGTTGTTATGTGCTGTCAAGTTTGCTGTTATCTCATAGTAACCCTGTACAAACCCTGTTATATCCTGTGCCAAACTTACTGTCTCTGACACCCCTACTTCCATTTCCCCAATCACTGAATCAATTCATCTCATCGAGGGCCTTACTCTCTTGCCCTGTCCCTCCACCCTCCCAAGCATAATGTCGCTCCCTAAGGACTGGTCCCTCCTTGCAACAATGTCTGAAGTATGTCAGATGGAGCTTCAGAATCCTTGCCTCCAAGGAGCAGCCTGGTCTCACCCTCTCCAGAAGGAACCTGTTTGTTCTCCTAGCAGTCCATGGTATTCAAAACTCTTCTCCCAGCACCATAACTCAAAGGCATCAATTCTCCTTCTATCATTCCTAGTCATTGTCAAGCTCCCTGAAGCATAGCACATAACTGTGAAGACCATGGCCTGAATCAGGCACACCTTAGTCTCCAGACTAACATCATTGCTCTTCAAAGTACCTTTGAGATAGTAGAAAAACAAAAACAACAACTCATTGCTATTGAGTGTGAATGAACTCATAGCTGAGCCTTCAGCGAGTTTTCATAGACTTAAAATTGCTCAGAGGAGATTGTCCATCTCTCTCTCACAGAACAGCTGGTGGCTAGAAAACACTTGCCTTCAGATTGGTAGTGCAACTAGCATAGTGTAAGTGTCTACAATTCATCTACCCAGTCCTCTACTGATGGATATTTAGGCTATTTTCAACTGATTGTTTTTACTGGCAGTAAGTTTCCTTTATTCCCAAGATGCCACGGTATTTAAAGGATGAACTCCTTGAAGAGGAACAGCTGGAGCAAAGGGCTAGGTGGATGTTGCCAAAACAGCTCCCTTTATTGATTCACGCTGCTGGTATGAAAGTCAGTTGGGAAAGAATACAACCCAGAATCCTCTTGTTATGTCTGAATATGCTTTACCTGTTCCCTCTGCAAAATAACCTAGTGCAGTTGAATTGATCCCTACTCACAGCAACCCTGGAAGGGACTCTCGTGGTCCAGTGGTAAGGAGTTGCACTGCCAAACCAAAGACAGGTGGTTCAAATCCATGAGCTGCTCCATGGGAGAAAGATGGCTATCTCCTCCTATATAATTTACAGCCTCTGAAAACCTGCTGGCAGTTCAGCTATGAGTTTGTTCCTATTTGATGGTACGTAACAACAACATATAGCAAACTTGTACGACAGAGTTGCCCTGCAGTTTTCAAAGAGGTGATTTTTATGGAAGCAGACTTTCACAACTTTCTCCTGAAAGGCCACTGGGAGGTTTGAACTGCCGACCTTTTGGTTAGCAGCTAAGTGCTTGCCTTCTGTGCTACCAGGGCTCCTCAACACCTTTACATAGATGAATTTAATCTCTATAACTAAGCCCTCAGATGTTATCCTCATGTTACACTTACGGAAACTGGAGCACAGAGAGGTTAGGCAAGTTGCTTAAGGTCACAATTTTTAAGTATTACAGCCAGAATTCAGCCTTGTCTTGTCCAAGTTTGTGCCCTTGACCACTGCTTCTCACTTGGCTTAATGGCCAACATCAAATAAGCACTTGTTAAATGGCTGATTTTCAAAACAACAACAGCAGTAGCGGCAGCAGAATGGGGGGGGGGGAACCAACAACCCTACTAGGGAAGTGTTAAGAGTTCTTGTCTTCCTCACAGAAAACTCAGGGTTTGATTCCTGGCCAATGAACCTCTTTGCAGTCACCATCCTCTGTCCCTGGAGGCTCATGTGTTGCTACGATGCTGAATAGATGTCAAGAGAGCTTCCAGATTATAAGGCAGCTTAGGAAGAAGGGCCTGGCGATCTATTTCTGAAAAATTGGCCGATGGAAACAGTGTCCCATAATGTCCCAGTTATGGGAACGTCGCAGAACTGGGCAGAATTTTGTTCTGTTGAGCACAGGGCAACCTCTGCTAAGAGTGGTCTCCCACAGGCAAAGCACATCGACATGGAACCCATCTTCACAGCCGTCTGACATGAAGAGTGAAAGCTCTCTTATTTCTCAGCATCCACCCTTCTGGACACTAGTCCTAAGAAGAAAGAATCCCAGAGATGCTAGAACCACTGAGCGTCACCAGGGCCACATGGGGACCCTAAATCTCTGCCTCGGCTTGGAGCATCTGAAGCTTTCTTTTCTCTGTGACTCAAGGGCTTCAGGCTCTGAGAAATTTATATAATTTCTCTCTTACTGCCAGAGAGGCTTCTCTCCCACCCCTCGCCCTGCCATTCGGACAGACTGCCCTGAGGTTTCTGTGACGGACTTCTCTTCAGATAAGCTACATTTTCATCACCATTTCCTTTGCTTGGTCAGCAAGGAGGGCAAGACTTCGTCTCAAGAGCTTTAGAGCAGTTATTAGGAGGGATCTGGAGTCCCTGGAGAAGGACATCAGACTTGGTAAAGAATCAGCATATAAACAGGAAGACCCTCAATGTGATGGACAGACAGTGGCCACAACAATGGGCAAACAGAGCACTGATTGTGAGGACGGCACAGGGCTGGACACTGTTTCACTTTGCTGGACCTGGCGTTGTTAGGAGTGCCCATTCAACGGCACCTAACAATAACTAACACTTAGAACAGTACCCTGGCGCATAATAAGCACCCTGTAAATGTTAGCTGTTATTTACTCAGAGCCTGGCAAGCGGTTAGCTCTCAGTAAATGGATTGCACCGGGAATAGTGCCACTAAAACTGTGTGTGGTGGCCTCCTGCCAAGACTGGGCCATGGGAGCCAGCACAGGAGTTCTCGCGCCCTCTGGTGGACACAGAAGGACGAGGTAGAGAGTAGGTATTAGCTGAAAATTGTGCCAGCTGGCTCCAGCAGAAGAGAATGAAGGAAGAACCCATGAGCTCATCTTCCAGAGTCTGTTCCCCAGCAGGGATCCCCTCAGGATTCCTGGAAGGTCCTGGAACTGTATTAAGCTAATGCAGCCATTGCTTTGTTCTTTTTTTTTTTAACTCACAATTTTTCCATGTTTGCTGCAAAGCTTTGGCTCTTTCCTAAGTACATCTACCCGCCTCCTCTCTCAGGGGTTAATAGCTGCAAACCAAAAAGCCTGAACAGTTGCCATCAAGTTGATTCCAACTAGTGGTGACCCAGGCTGACCTTGCAGAAAGCCAGGCGTGCTCCTGAGACACTTGCGGATGAGTCGGAGCCACCCGGGGACTCCTTGTTAGTCAAGTGGGCTCTGAGTTTTCAGGGCTTGCTCTGAGCCTCACAGCAAACAGTTATTTGCACCCAGTTCCCAAGGAACAACAACAACAACAACAAAGACTAATGCCTGTCTCCTCTTCCAAACTCTTTGAGCACTCACTGGCCGTCTGGGCAACCTGCTTCCAACTCTGTGCTCAGAGTACACCTTTACTGACTGCCTGTGTGGAATCAAGGAACCCTGGAGTTATCGTGTACAATCTACGGAGCTTCTACCCTGAAAGGCTGGCAGTTCAAATGACCAGCCGCTCTAAGGGAAAAAGAGGGACAGTCTCTTCTCATAAGAATTTACAGCCTCCGAAACCACCTGATGGACGATGACTCTGAGGTGGAACCAACTCAATGTGTGTGTGTGTGTGTGTGTGTGTGTGTGCGCGCGCGCATGACATCAAGTTCTAGTAGGCACTTCTTTTGTACCATGGAGTCAGAACTAATCCATAGCTGTAGCTGACTCTCCAGCAGGTTTTGAGAGGCAGGAAATCACACAGGAGGAGATTATTGCTCTTTCTCCCACAGAGCAGATGATGGATTTGAACTGTGCATTTGAGTTGACAGTGTGGTTTCTTACCACGAGGACACCAGAGCTCCCTTCTAGGCACTAGGATTAAACAATAGAAGACAAAGTTGTTTTGGAGTTTATATCCTCGCAGGAAACAAGCAGAAGTAACAAACAGTGTTAAGTGCTTTGTTATTGTTGTTATTGTTGTTGTTATGTGCTGTCGAGTCACCTGCGACTCACAGTGACCCTTTGTACAACAGCCCTAAACCCTGCTCTATCATGTGCAAATCTTATTGGCTCTGATACACCTACCCACATTACCCCAGTCATGAATCAATCCATCTCATCGAGGGTCTTCCTCTCCTTTGCTGACCCTCCACTCTCCCAAGCACGACATCCTTCTCCAAGGACTGGTCCCTCCTTGCAACATGCACAATGTATGTTGAACGAAGCTTCAGAATCCTTACCTCTAAGCAGCAACCTGGTTTCACCCTCTGTAGGATGAACCTGTTTGTTCTCTTAGAAGTCCATGGTATATTCAATACTCTTCTCCACCATCAAAGCTCAAAGGCATCAATTCTGTTATCATCCCTAGTCATTGCCCAGCTCTCTGATACATAGCAAGTAAGGTGCACCTTAGTCTCCAGGCTGACATCGTTACTCCTCCATACTCTGGAGAAGTCTCTGACAGCAGACTTTCTCAATACAATTTGTATTTTAGTTTCCTGGCTGCTGGTGTTAAGAGTGTTAACTGTGGAGCCAAGCAAACTAAAGCTGTTAACAATCTCAATCTCTTCACCATCTATCATGATGCTGCCAATCAGCCCAGTAGTGACTTTGTAGAGAATTAAAATAGGGTAAGCTTTCAGTGATACAAGTGAGGTGCAAGGTTGCAAGGTTGGAAGTTCACGTTCCTCCAGAGGTGCCTGGAGGGAGAGTGTGGCAATCTACTTTGAGAAATCAGCCACCAGCCCCCCTCTAGGGCATGTATCTGCTCCCACACACACAAGTTGGAACTAACTCAACAGCAATTGGTGAGAGGAGAGAAGGGTGGAGGCCCTTCTGACCGAGTGATCACGGAAAGGCCTTTTGAAGGGACTTCTAAGCTGAAGTCGGAAAGACATGAAAGAGGCAGCTGTGTGGAAAAGCAACAAATGCTGGCGAGGTTGTGGAGAAACTGGCAACCTTATTCACTGTTGGTGGGAGTGTAAAATGGTGCAACCACTGTGGAAGGCGGTATGGCGCTTTCTCAAAAAGTTGCAAATAAGAGATACCATTTGACCCAGCAATTCCACTACAGGAAATATACCCCAAAGAGACCATAACTGCCACCCAAGCAGATACATGCACACCCATGTTTACTGCGGCTTTGTTGACAACAGCAAGGAGTTGGAAACAACCTAAGTGCCCATCAACAAATGAATGGATAGAGAAGCTGTGATCTATTCACACAATGAAATACTATGCTGCATTGAAAAACAAGGAACTCATGAAATATTAAAAATGGGTAACCCTGGAGGACATTATGTTGAGTGAAATATCTCAGTCACAAAAGGACAAATACTGCATAGTGTCACTGTGTAAAACAGGACTGACATCAGGATTGGGGGTAGACTGAGAAAGATGGGATAAATAATGTATACTGCACTGAAACAGATGAGGGAGAGAACTGCTTAAAATGGATATATGATTAGGTATTATTGTCATGACAGGAGTCCAGAATGAAGGCTGCATAGTGGAGTGGACCTAGTGGGAGGGACTGTAGAACAATGAAAGAATTTTTCTTTTACTTTTCAAAGAGAAGAACAAATTGGGGGGAGGGGTGAGCAGGGAGAAAAGTACAACAATGAATGAATGGAAATCCAAAGTCTCTGTAAACTTTCATTAAAATTAATAATAAAAAATGTAAAAAAAGAAACACGCCTTCAGGACAGAGGGAAAGAGAAAGAAGAGACAGTGTCAGAAAGCAAGGCCTGGATCTACAGGTCTCACAAGTTTTTATAAAGAGCTTCTCTTTTATTCCAACAGAAAATGGGAAGCCAGAGGACTGTTTTCAAACAAGTTATTTTTCTAGAAGATCCTTTTGGCTCTGAGTGCAGCTATATGGTAGCAAGGCAGGTGTGGGAGGTAAAGAAAGAACCATTGGGGCAGAGGGATTGGAGATACGCCATAAAGGTGGTAGTTATGAAACACTTTCAACAGAGGAATCCTTGGGTGGCAAAACAGCCACTGAGTTAGAAGCCAAAAGATTGACGCTTGACCATTTGCCTAGAGGCAGCTTGGAAGAAAGGCCTGGAGATCCACCCTACCAGCCATGAAAACTCTAAGGAACATTGCTCTACCCTGATGCCTGTGGGGCTGTAGGGAGTCACACGACTCCACGGCAACAGGGCTTCTACAGTGACCGGAGTTTGGGCTGGAACAACTGCAGAGCAGTGCTGTCACTTGGAGCGGTGAGGAGGCTGGAAGGGCAGCTCTGTGAGTATGAGTGTCCAGTATTCTGTTTGGCCAGAGTGAGATGCTATGCGGTGATGGGCAGCTCTGGACAGCCAAGACTGGAACCTTTGGGACAGGAAGAGGACAGAGACACAAACCCAGGGTCTTGCTATTTAAAGCCCTGGGTTGGGATTCGGTCACCCAGAGAGAAGAAAGGCCCCTGCCTGGAGATGCTCTGACTTGAAATCAAGCTTTAGAAAAAGAGGTAACAACTTTAGAAAAAGAGGGGAGCAGACCCAAGAGAGTGGGGGCACGGAAGCCTAAAGAAGCTGGTGCATACCTGGGTTGAATCTCAGTTTGAGCAGAAATGCCCACTGGATTTAACAACTTACAAGTCACTGATGACCTTGACCAAGAGTCTTGGTGAATGACGAGGTCAATCAGAGTGAAAGTTCCCATGGCATTTTCTGTTTTTTCCAACCCTCTTTGTACTGTGGGCTCAGTTGTCCAGGCCGGGAACTGGGAGCCATGTCAGAGTCCTCCCTCCCCTCCTCCTGCAGCCTCAGGCCCTCCACAGCTCTCCTTCCCTCCACAGCTCTCCCTCCCAGCTCACTCTCTCTCTGCTCCATCTCTGTTCATCCATCTGGTCCCATCACTCCCCGGGATTAACACAGTGCCTCGTTGGCAGCCCTGCTTCCAGTCTCCATTGCACCAGAGCAACAACTCCGAATTGCTCATCTAGCCAAGTGCCTAGTACTAAAGCCTTTCCTGGATCCCACCACTGTCAGGTAATAGCAGCCAGAGTCCATGGTGTGATGAACTGTCCCTTACCCTCTACCTTCATCTCCCCTCCATCTGTCCCCACATTGACTTTGGACAGCTACTTCCTCTCTCTCCATGCTTCTGAGCTTCACCCAGGGTGATCTGGTGGTATAGTCAGTAGGGAGTTTCTCTTCTAACGCAAAGGCTGTGCCTCTCTGGTGGTTCAAATCCACTAGCTGATCCAAAGGAGAAAGATTCCTCCCATGCAATTACAGCCTCTGAAAAACAGCTATGCTCACTCCAACTCCATGGCAATGAATGAAAGTGAATTATGTCCCGTCCTGCCCCTGCAACACCCAAAGTGCCACCTCCTCCAAGAAGTCTTCCGGGATTGCTTCCCAGCGCTCTGACACCTGGCTATGGTCTGGGGTCGCTCACCTGCTGAACAGGCTCAATGGTCAGCTCCATATAGCGACTGATGGCTCCCATCGTCCTGAGTGGCTTGCAGTTTGGCAGTGTGGTAAGAGGCATCCAATCTGAATTCTTTCCCATGGAGACAGATAGAAGAATTCTTAAACTCAAAAGACATTTTCAAAACACAAGATCTTATTTTCTTTAAAAGAAACCCCTAAGTAATTGGTCTAGTCGTTTGCAAAACACTTCACTTTCTGCTTCATGTCCATTGGGTCCTCTCTCTCTCTCTGACTTCCTTGAGTTCACACCAGGTCAATGGTTCCTAAACTTGGCTTCATACTTTTCAGTTCCTACCTGGGGATCATAAGAAAAAAATACCAGAAAACTATTGGTGTGATGTTTCCACTCCCTGGCATTCTGGGTTAATCAGCACGGGATGTGACCTGGGTAGTAGATCTTGAAAAAGTTCCTAGGGAGTTTAATGTGCAGCAGGGACTGATTTGAAAACTAAAACTCATGCTGCTATATTGGAACCAGGAGATTGCTCCTCTTTCTTCCTCAGAACAACTAGTGGGTTCAAACTATCTACCTTTGAGTTGCCAGCACAACCCAAAACTCCCAGGACCTGGTAGCCTAGTGGTAGGAAGCTGTGCTGTAATCCCAGCGGCATGCAGTTCAAATCCATCAGCTGCTCCATGGAAGAAGGATGGGCAGTCTCCTTCCATGCAATTAGTGGCCTCAGAAAACCCGTCAGAGGGTCAGCTATGGTTCAGTTCTGACTTGACAATACACAGAAACCACAAGAAATAAATGTAAAGCTGGGGTTCTCAGTCTTAGTGTGCACCTGCCAGCACCCACAGACTGCTGACGCCCATCTTCAGTTTCTGGTGAGGTCCTCCGATTTGCAGTTCTGAGAAGTGTCCAGTGGAAGCTGGTTGGGGACCACACACTGAGAACCACTGTGGTAGAGAATGACTGAGGATCCAAAGGGCAGCTGCTTCCTTCCTTCAGGACCCACCACAGACACTCCCACCCCAAACCCAACAAACACAAACTACAGTCTCTGAGTCAATTCCAACTCCAGGTGATCCTTCATGAGATGCACATACTGGGAAAATGAATATTTTGGAGAGTCAGCTATGAGTTGGTTCCAGTTTGACCCCAATGGGGCTAAATTACAATGAGTTTGAAATACCAATTAAAGCTACACTGCAATCCCAGAGGCATGTGGTTCGAATCCACCAGCTGCTCTGCTGGAGAAGGAGGGACAATCTCCTCCTGTAGCAGTCAGATCCAATTTGACAGTACACACATAAAAAAATAATAAAATTGGAAAAAATTTTCTAAATATCAATTAGTTTAAATTGCAACATAGCAGAAAAGGGCACTTGACTGTTTAATCGATATCACTAAAACAACAAAACAACCCCACTGTTACGGAGTCAGCAGAATTTTCAAAGGCTGAGTGGTCCCCAGGCCCTTGTTCAGAGCAGCCTGTGGGTAGATTTAAACCTTCAGTCTTTCTGTTAGCAGCTGAGGGTGGCATCTATTCATAATGACCCAGGGCTTCTTCTCATATCGCTAAGGGTACACTGTGGTTATTACTGATCGCTATGGAACGTCGAGTCAGAACTGACGCATAGCTAAGCACCCGGGGGTGTTTCACAGGCAGTATAATTGCACAGAGGAGAGTGCCCCGCAGTGCAGCTGGTGGATATGAACCACATGCCTTCAGGCTGGCAGAGAAGCTCCTTACCACGAGGCCACCAGAGCTCCCTAAAGGTATATTAAATGAGAAAAAAATTAAAAATGAGGGAAGGGAAAAAAAATCTAGTAACTGGAGAAATGCAGGGTACCATTATATTCAGTGTCAGCTCAGTTTGGGGCGTAAGTGATAGTTTTGTTGGGTTTTTTGTTGTTGTTGTTTTTAGTGTTTCCCCCCCCCCAAAAAAAAAAAAGTGGAAAGGGTTTATTAAGGTAATGCAAAGGAGACATGGTTGATGGAAGGCAGAGACAGGCCATCCAAAAAGTTAAAGAGAAAACCCCTTGGAAAGTCAGGGGTGGTCCCAGGCCTTTTGGCAGGCAGCCAGCTGAAAGAAACTAGTTTTTAAGGTGACCAGCGGGCAGGGTGTGGAGGGCCTCCTAGGATCCCACCCCTGCTCCCCTAGAGCCGGCCGCTCTGTCCACTGTGGCAGTGGACACACTGATGAGCCAGAAGCCTCCAGACGTCCTGACCTTGTCCTCGCTCTGCGCCTCACGGCTTTCTTCCTCCTCTCTCTCCGCACAGGTCAGGAGGGCTTGCCTGTCGGGGCTCTCTCTGGCTTCTGTGGCAAGTCCCAGCACCCGCCTCATCTTGCTCTTCATCACGCAGCAAAGGAAAATGATCTGAGAAGGAGCGCATTAAGGTCCAAGGAAGCGGTGTCTACCAGCAGCCAGTCCTGCCCACCTTATTAATTACATGCCCCCAGAGTCACCTCTGGTCGTCCCTATCATTCCACCGGGGCCTGCACCCCAAAAGAGAGAAGGCTCATGGGAGGCCTGGGCCAGGTCTCTGTATGTTTGTCTCCTAAATGGCTGGCATCCAGCAAGACCCCTCAGCTCACACACGCTTGGGAAATTCGTGTTAAATAAACAAAAACATTTTTAAAAGCATCTTTCTGGAAGGATCTGCCTTCCAGACAGTATTTGAGGAAAAAAAAAGTCACTAGACTAGAAGGAGCTCTGGCAGCTTGGTGGTAAGGACCTGTGCTACTAACCTGAGGGCAGGTGGTTTGAATCCACCAGCTGCTCCATGGGAGACAGATCGGCATTCTCCTCTCATGCTGTTTGCTATCTATGAAGACCCTCCGGAGGGTCAGCTGAGCCAATTCAAACCCGACAGTACACAACGACTATTGAGGTGAAAGGCACAGGTTACTCATCTCCACCCTGCCCTCCCCTTCACCCTACAGTTCAGCAGAGCCACTACCCACTGTCACTCTGCCCCCCCACTATCTGAACAGAGCTTACCCTTGAAGCTCATGCCAAGCTTACTAGATGTCAGCACACAGGATGCTAAAAGGTCACCGACAAGGGGCAACAATTGTTAGCTTTTATGCCAACTTCCCCTACCCAGGCTCTGCTCTGAAAGAATAGAGAAAAATCTTTCTTCATGCATGGATCCACCTGAGAAAAGGCAGATGAATGGGAGGATAGGGACCCATGCTGGGTAAAATGCCCTGCCGGAGAGACTGGAACTGTCTCTGTGTGTATCAGCTCCTGGTTAGCGTGTGCATCTAGTAAAGAGGGAGGAGGCCCTGGCAGAGCAGAGAAGCCAGGCAGGGACTTCTCCCACCCCAGGCAGGTGAGCCTGGGGCCCAGTGTGGATACAGCCAGGTCCAGTGCAGCTCGGCCGAGGGAGGTCAGGAACCAGGGCGTGGCCCGCAGCAGGTACTCGGGCCTCCGGTCGTGGGCCACGATGGCCGAGGCATAGAGCAGGCAGGCCAAGGCCGACAGGAGCCGCATCCATAGGTGGAGGGAGGGAAACGTCTTACCCTGGCACTGGACACAGAGACAGGGGGCTGGTTGACCAGCAAGCACATGGCCATCCCCACCCAGCTGCTCCCTCCAAGCCAGATTCTGAGACCCAGGGCCCTGCTGGCATGGCAGGTGGACAGGCAAGCCCTCTGCTCAGAAGGACACTGCTCTCTCCAGCTTCCCACTGGGCTAGACTGCTTCCCCCGCCTGGTCTTACAGGATAGATTTTGTCTCCCCCTCAAATGTTCTATCTGAAGTCTTGTGAATGTGACCTTATCTGGAAATGGAGTCTTTACAATGAAATTAGCATGAAGTTGAACACTTTTTTTTATAAACCCCCATTAACACTAGAGACAGAAGTGGGCCACAAAAATTCTTAGCTTAGGGCAAACACGAGTGGCCCGGGTAAAGCCTGGTCTGTCCTTGAAAAGTAAAGAATTAACTAGTGTCTACGTGACACAAAAGAAGTAAAGGTGCACAAAGTAGCCAGCCCGTCAAAAGTCAACCCACCAACCATGATCGCAATCCCCCCTGCCCTAACAGGGGCACTCAAAAGAGCTATAAAAGCAAGTGGGAGGGGAAACTCGGGGCTTTTTTCCTTCACCACCTTCCTGAGGAAGGAGAAAAGTCTCCAAGCGTGGAAATACTATAATAAGCGCTCTTGAAATTTCAGACGTGTTTTTAGATTTCTTTGAGAGGCATTTCGTGGGCAGAACAAAGTCATACCAGAATAGGGTGTTGTTGCTGTTGTTGATTGCCTTCAATGAAGCACGACTCACAGTGACCCTATAAACAAAAGACCTGAAGGCTTTCTCTAACTATCAACATTTATCAAAGCTCATAATTTCCAGAGGCATGTTGTTAAGGAAGTGGACGCTACTCCTGCTTCCAAAGAATAAGGTGGGGCCTACTCCAACATGACTGGTGTCCTCATAAACAGAGGAGAGACACAGGCCAAGGGAAGACAGTCGTGTGAACTGGCATATCTCGCCAGGTTCCAGGAATGCCTCGGGTGCACTCTGGTGGTGTGGTGCTGTGCACCCAAATGCTATGTCTCTCTCACAGTTAAAATCCACCAGCAGTTCTGTGGGAGAAAGACCAGCTATCTCCTCCTATATAACTTACAGCCTCAGAAACCCAATGGAGGGTCAGTTAAGAGTGAGTTCTGACTCAATGGCATTCAGCTGACTGAAGCTACTCACCAAGCATGCCTGGGGCTACCAGAAGCTGAAGAGACACAGAACACTCTTCCCCTGAAGCTTTTGAGAGAGCACAGCACTGCCACGTCCCTGTATGATATCACCCAGCCTCAGGATGACACAAAACTGTTCTGTCGTCTTAAGCCACCTGTGTTGTTGTTGTTAAATGACAGGAAGTCAAACATGACTCATAGTGGCCCTATGGAGAATAGAGATGAAGCCTGTCCTGTCCTGTGCTGCCCTTATCATCTCTTGATCCCACTGCTGCAGCCCCTGTCAATCTATCTCGATGAGGGTCTTCCTCTCTTTCTCTAACTCTCCACCTTTCCAAGCATGCTGTTCTTCTCCAAGGAACAGCCTCTCCTCGCAACATGCCCAATGTACGTGAGGCGAAGCATCACCATCCTTTCCTCTAAGGCACACTCAGGCTGCATTTTCTCCAAAACATATGTTTGTTTCTTCTGGAAGACCATGGGACTCATTCATCACTCTTCTCCAACAACATACCTCGGGAATGGACACACCTAGTAAAGTCCTACATATGTATAGCCATAAACACCAGACATTACCAATTATACATAATATCACAATTACTTGCTATGCATCAGAGAGCTGGATAATGACTAAGGATAATGGAAGAAGAATCAATGGCTTTGAGTTGCAGCGCTGGAGAAGAGTATTGAACATACCATGTTTGTCAAGAAAACAAATAGGTCTGTCTTGGAGAGGGTGAAACCAAGTTCCTCCTTGGAAGCTAGCATTTTGAAGCTCTGTCTCACATACTTTGGGCACATGGCCAGGAGGGGCAGATCCTTGGAGGACATAGTGCTTGGAAAGGGGGAGGACAGTACAAGAGAGGAAGACCCCGGATGAGATGGATTGATAGAGTAACTGGGGCAGTCGGGGAAGGTGTGTTGGAGTCAGTGAGACTAGCTCAGGCAGGGCAGGCTTTAGAGCTGCTGTTGCTATGGGCTGCAGGTGACTTGACAGCACATAACAACAGGTTCTTAAGTGGCACAAACAGTTTGCCCTTGTCTCTCTAAAGTTAGTGGTTTAAACTAGCTGGTTCCAACTTGACAGCAATGAGTTGCCTGTTTTTTTGTTTGTTTGTTTTGGTTTTGAGTGGAGCCTATGCATTTGAAAGGTGGGCAACGAATAAGGACGGCAGAAGAAGAATCGATGACGAGAATTCTGGGGTTGAATAAGAATGTTGGATAACCCGTGGACTGGCAAAAGAACAAACAAGCCTGTTTTGGAGGAAGTGCAAGCAGGGTGATGTGTGGAGGCAAGAATAGCGAGACTTGGCCTCACATACTGTGGGCGTGTTGTCAGGAGAGGGCCAGGCCTTGGAAGAAGACATCATGCTGGGGATAGCGGAGGGTCAGAGAGAGGCCGGCCTCGGTGAGACGGACTGGCACAGTGCCTGTAACAACGGGCTCGGCCATGACAGAGATGGCGAGGCTGATGCCGGACAGGGCAGAGTTTCGACCTGCTGTTCGCAGGGCCGCGAGGAGTTGTACTCAACCACACACACCAGCAACCTAGGAGAAAGAGCTGAGCTGCATCTCCAAAGCTTACAGCTAAGAAAACCTATGGAATATTTCCTCTCTGCAGCACATGGGATCATCCTGAGCTGTTAGCACCTTCACAGCAATAGGGTGTGTGTGCGGGGGGGAATCTTTTGTATTACATATAATTTTGTTTACTTATTGAAAACCAAATTCTGATTCTTACTCAATGTGACCCTACAGGAATGAGCAGAACTGCCCCCGAGAGTTTCTAAGGCTGTCTATACTTTGGGCCTGTCATCAGGAGGGACCAGTTCATGGAGAAAGAAGACATCATGCTTGGGAAAGCAGAGGGTCAATGAAGAAGAGGGAACCCCTCGGCCAGAAGGACTGACACAGTGTTCACAACAATGGGCTCAAGCATAGTAGATTGGTACAGAGGATGGTACTAGAATGTCAGTATTTTGTTCTGCTGTAAATAGAATCATTTTAAGTCTGAACCTAAAAGTTAGTTACATTTACGGAGGCACACTGTCATATCTTTCTCTAGTGGGTTTGAACCATCGATCTGACAGCAGCTGAGTGTCTAACCACCGTAGAACCAGGCCTTTATGTTCATTAAATGACCATGGTTCGATATATGCAGGCCATGAGTAATAAATGGGGGAAAAATGTCAAGGGGAAAAGCATGTTTTGACCATTATCTCCCAATTTTTAACTCTCACAAATCATTCCCAGGAGTTAGATTCTCTCTCTACATTTCTTTTAGTTTGGTTTCCAGACCTTCCTATTGCTGCTCCACTATCCAGCAGTGTCAGAAGCTGATCTGTGGAACTTGGGAGCCAGGAGGGAAGAAGCTGGCTGGTTGACAGAGGCTAAGAGTGGAGATCCCGTAATTCCCCAAGGGCCCTCCCACCTCACAGGCCTCACAGGCAGCCGTGGGCCTGATTAGTGTCAGCCAAGGGGTCATAAAATATCATGGCTAGGTACACTTGAGGGTCTCCCAGGCCTAATCACAGAGGGGACCTGCAGAGCTAGGGCTGGAACGGGGGCCTCCTGCACCACCACCCTTGCTCTTCTGGCTGTTCGCAGTAAATCTGTGCTAAAGGGCTCTGCTTTCTCTCACTTGATACCTCAGCCAGCCCCAGCCCCCACTGTCCTCTAAGCTCAGATTCGTTCAGGAACTATTTCTAGTGCCAGACACACAGGAAGTGCTTAATATCTGAGCTGCTTCAAGAATGGAACTGAATTAGTAACGATGAGACATGACAGGTGTTTCGGCAGCTCACACAAGCCTTCAGCTGGAAGGACAGCCCTGCCTGCTGAGACTGGGGGCTGGGAACCCCGGGGAGCTAGGAACCCCTCCTTAGCAGGTGGGGCCTCAGACTGCTTCAGAAACACATGATTTGTGGGGATGGTTCAGTGGGAACTTCACAATTGTAGTCAGGCTCAAGGATTCACTCCTAGAAGAACAGGATGTGTTCCCACCAAGGCCATGCAGACACATTGCTCCTCAGCACCCACCAAGGGTAAACTGAAAGGGTTTCTGGGGGGGAATCTCACACTAGAACACTCTAAACCCTAAAATAGGAGCCCTAGCTCTACACTGTTCTTCCTGGAACCAGAGGCTTAGGATGGCAGCACCTCAGAAAGGCCCGGCCCAATTCCCATCACAAACTCATCTATCATCCTGCCAAAAGGTCACAAGGCTTGAATGCCATTAGTGACGGGCAGCCCATTACGTCCCGAGGCAGTAGTCAGGAAAACACTGCCCGCTGCTCGTGACATGCACTATAGCAACAGCATGCAATGTATCCCACTTAATGAAGAGCATCCCCCCCTTCCTGAGGCTCCCTCTCCCCAGGCTTGGTTTTGGTTCTGATTCCTGAAACGGCAGAGAACAAGGCTGCTCTTTCTGCTTCATGACAGCTCTGCTGATTTCTGCACCACACGCTAGTCCTTTTTTCCCCAGGCCAAATGAAGTCATTTCTCAGAAAGCTGGTACCTGCCATAGGCCAGGTCTGGCCTTTGGTGGGTGCTTGGAATATGGACTTAACTGGAAGATACTGCAGCTTCTGCTAAAGACCACTGCAATAAAGTGAGTTGCATGAGTGTTTTAATTTCTCAATGCCTATAAAAGTGATATTTCCCTATGCTGTGGTCTACTGGAGAGATCTGGTGGCCTAGTCCATAGACAGTGGTACTGCTGACCCAAAGACCCTCTCCTTCCATGTGATTTTTAAAAATTTTTTTTATTTTATTTTTTCTCCCATGTGATTTATCATCACCTCAGAAATAAATAAGGAGTGAGATTCTCTCGACTAGGCAGCGGTGAGTTTTGAGTTTGTAGTCTATTAAGTGGGCAATAGCATGATGAAAAAGTTTAAAATACTTTGAGAATTACCAAAAGGTGACATAGAGACTCAAAGCGAGCACACGATGGTGGATGGTGGAAAAACGGCTCCAATCGCTTTGCCTGAAGCAGGGTTGCCACAGAGCTTTACTTTGTTAGCAAAACAGTATCTTTGAGGAACAATGAAACTAAAGACAGTAAAACGAGGTGTGCCCATCCAGCGGGAAGAAAAACAGACAGGGGTACCAATTTCCTTTGCTGACATTCTGTTTGGGGATTAGGCACATTTAGTAAATAAACACAGCAGCTCACTAAGTAACTAGAAAGAAATAAGGCAGAGAGAGGGGATGGATAGGGAGACAGGGTGGCGTGGGGCCCTGGTAGGTGGGTGGTCAGAACACTTTACTAGGTCCATCAGAGGTCTTAGTGTGGCTGGCCAGCCCCTATGCCACTCTGGACCCTTCCAGGACACCCCTCCCAATGCTTCTTATTAAGAGTTAAATAATTACAGCCAAGCACAATCAATAAGAGTGCATCTGAATTCCAAAATCAATCTCCATAATAGTCTATGTGTTTCCTACTGCCAAAGGGGCCCTTTAGAGTAGTGAGAGAAGATCTTCACCCTGAAACCCACAGCGTCCCTTTTCAGCAGGAAGTAGCTAAGAGAATACGCCGTCCCCTTTTCCTTATGACTCAGGGTGAAGTCTCTCTCAGGGAGGAATGATAGGGAATGGCAAAGGATACACTGACAAAGAAGATTAATCAGAACTGACTTTGACAAGCACTGTGGCATTTGGACAAGAACAAACTGGGAGGAGGGTAGAGAGAATAGTGCAACAATGAATGAGTGGAAGCCCAAAATCTCTGTAAATGTTTATGAAAATTAATAAAATATAATTATAGGAAAAAAAAAGAGTTAAATAATAACTAAATAATTTGGAGGCAAAAACACAGGAAGGTTAAGGAAAAGTTAAAATCATAAAGCACCTTCTAATTTCAGGTGGATCTTGCTTGTCAAACCGTCAAAGCACAACCTGAGTCCTTATAAGACTTTTAAAAACCAAACCAAACCAAGAGGGCAAAAGCTAGTCAACCTAACTGGTATTTTAGGCACGTGGGACTCCATGACACCACACGGGAGGTGATGGGAGTGGGAACTTTCAGCCACATCATTCTTTCGGTCCAAGCACCATTCACCTGCTTTGCAGGCCTCAGGAGGAAGAAGCCAGCCCAATGTCTCCTCCATTCTGCTCTTTTCCATTCAAAGTGGAACCTGTTCCTTTCTCTGGAACATATATTTTTCACTTTCTCCAATAAATGACCTCTACTTTCACCTCCACTCTTGTCTGCTCACTTTCTTTCTCAGCAAGCTGGCAGTTCCTAAACTTAACAGCTGTTAAAGTCTCTGAGAAGGGAATTCCAGTGGCCTAGTGGCAAGAAACTGTGCTGCAATGCCAAAAGCACTAGGTTCGAGGCCACCAGCTGCTCTGTAGGAGAAGGATGGTTAATCTCCTCCCACATGAAAACCCAGGTGAGGGACGCAGAAGCGGGGGCACTCACCATGAGTACACTCCCCACCTGTCTCTCCTTAATCTGGATGGTATGCTTCTGCTGTCAAGGTCCCCTGCATTTCTGGATTTAGGGTTTCATCTAAGTGATAACCCTGCAACAGGCAAGAAAGCAATAACACATACACCAAAAAAGAGAGAGAGAGAGAGGGGAAAAATTAACATTTCCTGACTAATATTTTAAAAGGGGGCAAGTCCCCTTTCAGTATAGGACAAGTGAAAGAGAGACCTCTTAATCTAATCAGAGGCCCTTTGTTCTTTCAGTCTAGGACAATTTTGAAGGAAACTTCCTTTTCTCGTTGAAATCCTTTGTCTCCACCCTGCAGTCTATCACTGAGCTGTACTCCTTTTTTCTGTTAACATAATACCTGATGACTCTGTGTCAACACTGGCCTTTTCAATGAATAGTAGGGGAAACTTAATTTTTTTTTAAGCTTTAACTGAATTACTGCTGAGTTTGTGCTGTATCACAGACTTTCTTCTTAACTTTGTTTTCTTTTCTTCTATACAAGATGTGCTGAATCGGATTATCACTTAAGACAGTTCACATCAAGACTTGGATTCAGCTCATGCAGGTACCATGAGACCCCCTTACGTGAGTAGTCTGGGCATCTCTTAGTGTTCCCTCTTAACAAACTTTAAGTGGGGTAAGAGTTTTCAGGTGCCAGGCCAGTGACCCCCATGGGACCTTCGAGAGGGCATCCATCTCGAAATGGCAGGCTCCTGGATGACCAGGCACCTAAGCAGACAGACGTCAATCTTGAAAGAGGCAAACCTAGAGCACACAGGTCCTGTGGAGACCAAACAGCTAACCAGGACGATGCCATCCTGGAGGCCAGGTGGCTGCACCCACTGACGTGCACAAGCTCTTCTTTGCTAAAGATAACTCAACTTTCACTTGTAAAGGTGCTGAATAAATATGAGGTCTTCCCCATACCCTCAGCCCACCCTACATATATCTCCCCTTAGAACCTTTCCTTGCTGAGACTGATTAGAGGAATTCATAACCCCTGTCTCTGATATGCCAGCATATATAATAAACCTTCTGCTTTTCCCACTCCAAACCATCTCCAGGATTGGTGCTTCCAGCAGGAGGCGGCCGAACTGTGTTTTCCCAGTAACAATCTAACCTTCCAAATTCCTGTTTCCTTGGACCTACTATTAAACCCTGGTGCTCTCAGATAAGAATTTTTTAAAAAATAAAATTATAGCATAAGAATCAGCATTCAGTTGCATACAGAGCCACTTTTGCATTCAGTTGAGCCCAGAGCTGTTTTCTGCACTAGTTCACTGTTTCTTGAGCACTTTCCAGCCTCAGTGGCGTCTCTCTGAGGACTCTACCTTGCCCTGTGGGCCCTTTTCCTAAGTGCGCCTGTGCCAGCTGGGCAGCTAGCTCTCCCCTGCACCTCTAGCTGCAGTGTAAGTCGCTTTCACACTCATCTGAAAACACAGGAAACATCTCCTGAGATTCCAAACATTTGTTTACATCCTTGTCAGCTGCCTTCCAGTCGTCGGCCAGATGGGACACTGATGGTCCTGCACTGTCCCCATGAATGGCTGCAGCTCAGACATTCAGGATCAATCCAGTTTATACTGGCTGATAATTGGAAGTAGATTATCAACCTTTTTCTTTTTATTCAATTATTTTGTGTGTGTACCATCAAATTGGATCTGACTGGTCCTTCCTTCTCCTGCAAAGCATCTGGTGGATTCGAACCGCACACCTCTGGGATTGCAGTGCAGCTTCTTGCCACTAGGCCACTGGAGGTCCCTTATTACTATTTTTTTAAAGGCTTTTTTTAGTCTGGAATCTGCAGGAATCTGTTCAACATCATAGTGACAGGCCAGCTTTCACTGAGAGCTGGGGGTGACTGCACGGGCCCTCCCATATGGAATGTGAGAATTCATTCTACCCCCGAGGCCCCACACCCTTACATCGGTCTTAAACTCACTGCCACTGAGTCAGCTTCAAGTGGTACTGCCTTTCCATCACCTTCCCAGGCTGTAAGTCTTATATATGGGAGGAGACTGCCCCTCTTTCACCAGCAAAACAGCTGGTGGATCCTAGATGCTGACCTTTCAATCAGCAGCTGCATACAGAACCTATTATGCCACCAGGGCTCCGTATATTCATCTCAGAGCATTAAAATATCCTGCTTCTGTTTTACATGCGTGTGTCTTCCATGAGACTGTGAGGTCCTCAAGGGGGCAAGCACGGAGCTTCAATTGATGTCTGCATCCCCCTCCCCTGGTATGGACAACACAAGCTGCCCTCACCCATGTACTTGGAAAATATCTGCAAATTAAGTTAAAGTGCCCCTGAGCTACACAGGACCCCAGGAACAAAATCATTCTATTGCTGAAAGCTTCTCAGCCCCTCGTGGGAGACTTAATTGATCCAGCCTCCCCGGTTTTTTCCTGAATATATGCTCTTCATTTGCAACAAGGAGCCAAGGAAGCAGCTGTGAGTTTTCTCTGTGAGAGATTCCAACCGTCCTCAGGACATCCCAGAATAAGCCCCTTTCCCCCATCACTGCTGGGCCTCAGAGAACATGCAGGAAATGTTCATATGCACCCTCGGATATTCCACACTCTGCCCTGATGGCTTGCATCACAGGGACTCCTGGATCCCCTCAGACCTGCCACCAGGATCCCCAGTCCCAGCCCGAACCCCAATCTCACGATTCTGGAGAGTGGAGGGATCCGGGAGGCCCATGCACCCAAGGCAGCGATGCCACCCAGCAGGTAGCCAAAGATTTCAATATTTTCCTGTAGAAACAAATGACACGCCCTCAGCATGCTGCAGAGACTATCCACGCAGCACAACAAACGGCAAAGTCCAACAGTTCCTCCCAACAATGTCATGGCCACCACGCCCCTCCTCCTGCAGGGCTGGGGTCCAGGGACCACGAGGAGGATGGTCTTACCCCATCCCACTGGGATCTGCCTCACCTGAAGCAGGCTCCCTAGAAGCCTCCTCTGTGGCCCCTGGATCGGACTGGAAGCCTTTGGGATGGAGGCCCAGAGTGCCCAGAATGGGCCCAGACTCAGTGGCAGGGCCAAGGCAAACACGCTGGCCCTGAGCTGCTGTCTCTTCATCCTCTGCCGGGAGCCTCGGCCTGAAAAACACCAAAAATCCTACATAGTTCCTGGGACTGGCACCAGCCCCAGCAGGGTGCCAGAAAGGGCCAGATTCCTCCATCCTTCAAGATTCTGGGGTCCTGCCACCTCTTTTTTTATTATTAAATTATTAGTTTTAATGAAAATTTATAGAGATTTTGGATTTCATTCATTCACTGTTGCACTTTTCTCCCTGCCCACCCCTTCCCCCCCAGTATACTCTTCTCTTTGAAAACTAAAAGGAAAATTCTTTCATTGTTATACAATCCCTCCCTCCAAGTCCACTCCACTATGCAGCCTTCGTTCTGGACTCCTGTCATGACAATAATACCTAATCATATATCCCTTTTAAACAGTTCTCTCTCTCATCTGTTTCAATGCAATCCCATCTATCTCAGTTTCCCCCCACCCCCACCCCCTATGTCAGTCCCGTTTTACAACAGTGGCACTATGCAGCAGCCACCTCTTTTAAGAAGGTTTTCTTACCCACCCTCCGTCCTCAGCCTCCACACTTGCTGCTGCTCTCTGCCTCTCACAGCACTTGATGACTTGGGACAGGGAGGACTGTCCTCTCATTTTGCACAGAGCTGAATGCAAATACCTCGCTTCTGCTGGGCTGGAAGCCTCACCAGGGCAGACCCCGTGTCCTGGCGGAATGCAGAACTGGTGCAGACTTGGTGAGCAAAACTCTGAGTGGGTGTATCTGAATCCAGGCACCTCAACTGTGAGGAGGATGGAGAGCAGCGAGCCAGTCAGCATTTGGTGGTGTTTTCTCTATTTTGGCGAGCAGCCAAAGGCCAGCAGGAGGTATGCCAACTGCAACACTTGTGATTGAGTGTGGAGAGACACTGTTAACAGTGGGAGCCACTCAGACATAGTGGCCCAAGTTTAGGATGATAGTAAAGAATTGCCTATGTTTAGGAAGGTGGCAAATAGTTGTCCAAGTTTAGAATGATAATAAAAGTTGCCTACCTCTACAAAATCCCTTAGTTTGGTTGAATAGCTGAGATATTGTTATTCTAGGAATTAAGGATCTGAGACCAAGTCACTGATATAAAACCAAAAGCAAACAAAAAAATTCCCGAGAAACTTCTTGAAGAATGCACCATCGACCAGGAAGCCTCGTCACTACAGACCTTGAACATCAGACACAGAACGTCTGACAACCAACCATCACGGGAACCAAACACCTTTTCGGACCCCTGAACACTTCCCTTCTGGACCCACCCACCTTCCTTGCCCCTTACTACTCCCTTTGACCAGCCCCTTGAAAAACCTCACTGGCTCCTGAGATGTCAGAAAATGATCTTTAGAGCATCAATACTGCTGTTTTCTCTCAGATTGCTGGCATCTGAATAAAGCACACAGTTAAAAGACTCATTGCTTATCTCTACACAACTGGCTCTTTATGCCTTCTCCAGGCCTGGCCATCTCCGCAATCAGACACAAGCCTTGGTACTTCCCCCCTTACAAAATATTTTAAACTTCATTATAAAGGATTTTAAAATACTGACTATATATCCATGAAAGCTAGAACCTGCGTAAAGTAGAAACCTATCAAAGAAGGAAAACTCAAATATTTTTTGCTAAAATGAGTAATAGAAATGTGTAAGGCTACACTCTGTCAAAGGCGGAGACTTATAAGACCAGGTAACACCAGGCAATCCCATTGAGTTCCAGCTCTCACAGGTTTCCATCCATTTTATTGGTGTAATTTATTTGTTTGGAACACTACACAGTTGTGGTAAATCTAAACTTTGGATTTAAGTTGATATCTAAAATCTAGTTAGTGAAATACTTTAAAAAAATTATTATTAATTTTCATGAAAATTTAGAGAGACTTTGGATTCCCATTCATTCATTGTTGCACTTTTCTCCCTGCCCACCCTTCCTTCCCCTAGTTCACTTTTCTCTTTGAAAAGTAAAAGAAAATTTCTTTCATTGTTATTCAATTCCTCCCCCCAAATCCACTCCACTATGCAGCCTTTGTTCTGGACTCCTGTCATGACAATAATACCTAATCATATGTCCTTTTAAACAGTTTTCTCCCTCATCTGTTTCAATGCAGCATACGTAATTTATCCCCTCTTTCTCAGTCTCCCCCAACCCCGATATCAGTCCCAATTTATAACAGTGGTACTATGTAATATTTGTCCTTTTGTGACTGAGATACTTCACTCAGCATAATGTCCCCCAGGGTCATCCATTTTGAATAATAATACATGAGTTCCTTGTTTTTCAATGCAACGTAGTATTCCATTGTGTGAATATACCACAGCTTCTCTATCCATTCATTTGTTGATGGGCATTTAGGTTGTTTCCAACTCCTTGCTATTGTGAACAAAGCCTCAATAAACATGGGTGTGCATATATATCTGCTTGGGTGTCAGTTATGGTTTCTTTAGGGTAAATTCCCAGTAGTGGAATTGCTGGGTCAAATGGTATTTCTATTTGCTATTTTTTGAGAAAGCATCATACCGCCTTCCATACTGGTTGCACCATTTTACACTCCCACCAACAGTGAATAAGGGTTCCAGTTTCTCCACAACCTTGCCAGCATTTGATGTTTGCTGTTCTGTTAAATTTTGCTGTTCTTACTGGGGTGAGATGATATCTCATAATTGTTTTGGGAAATACTTTTTGTGAACTGCTCAACGAGCTCATTGCAGTAGAGAACCGACTTCAAGTCAGTCCTCCACTAGATTATCGGAGGCTTTAACTTGCATTAAAGGACACTTACCATCTTGTGCCTCTGCAGCTGTGAGTGCATGAGAACCATCAGAAAAAAAAAACAACAAAAAACACAACAAAAAAAACTGCACCCTTGGGGTTAGCCCACATTCTCTATGGATTCTGCCCCTTTGACTAAACATACATGCAGCAAAACATTTACTATTTCAACATTTTTCACAGGTATCATCACTGACATTAATCACATTCATCTTGTGAAACCACCACCACCACTATTACCCAGATTTTCTCAGTATCCCCTCAGCAGTGACTCTTTTCCTGTTTCCTGGCCCATGAACTTAGGTCTCTATACACTTGCCCATCCTTGAGCTGTCAGAGAAGTGAGACAAGGCCACTCCAGTGACTGACAGGCTCCAGATCAGGTGACTGCTGTACACAGTCGTGTCTGAAACCCCAGCCTCCTTCTGCTCAGCATAATAGCCTTGTTTGCCACTTATTATTAAACCCTAGTTTCTGGTCAAAGACTCAAACTCACTGCCGTCAACTCAGTTCTGACTCAGAGGCCACACAGGACAGGGCAGAACTGCCTCACAGTGTGTCTGAGATTGCAAGTCTTAAGAGGAGGAGACTGTCTAATCCTTCTCTCTCAGAGTGACTCAGCGGTTCAAACTAAACACCTTTCTAGTTAGCAGCTCAATGTTTAACTCTCTATGCCACTGTGGTTGTTATGTGCCGTTGAGTCGACTCTGACTCATAGCAACCCTACATACAATAGCTCTGAACCCTGCTCTCTCCTGAGCCAGCCTCACTGTCTGACACACCTACTACCATTACCCCAGTCACTGAGTCAATCCATCTCATCCGGAGTCTTCCTCTCCTGCGCTGTCCCTCCACACTCCCAAGCATAACGTTCCTCTCCAAGGACTGGTCCCTTCTGTCCACGTGCCCAAAGCATGTCAGAAAGATCTTTAAAATCTTTGCCTCCATGGAGCAAGCTGGTTTTCCCTCCCTCTCTCTGTTTGTTCTCTCTTAACAGTCCATGGTATGTTCAAGACTCTTCTCCAGCACAACTTAAAGGCATCTATTCTTCTTCTCTCATCCTTAGTCATTGTCCAGCTCTCTAATGAGTAGCAAGTAATTGCAAAGACCATGGATTAGAAAAAGGCACACCTTAGTTTCTAGACTGACATTATTGCTCTTCAGTACTCTGGAGAAGCCCCTGATACAGATTTTCCCAATGTAATTCAACTTTTGACTTCCCTGGATGTTGTTATGTTGTTGTTCTGTACTTTCACGTTGGGACCAACTGGTAGCTGACGTTCTGGTGGGTTTTGGAGGCAGCAAATCACATCTGAGCAGACACCAACTTCTGGTGGATTTGAACCACATGTCTTTGGGACAGCAGTGTTGGTTCTTACCACTAGGCCACCAGAGCTCCCTATGTTGTTGTTTAGGTGCCGTCAAGTCGACTTTGACTCATAGTGACCCTACAAGCAACAGATCTGAACTTTGTTCTATCTTGTGCCATCCTCTTCATCACTAATATACTTAAGCCCATTGTTACAGTCACTGTGCCAACTCATCTTGGGAAAGGTCTTTCTCCCTTTCTCTGACCCTCTACTTTCCCAGAATGACATCTTTTTCCAAGGACTGGTCTCCTCTGATGATACACCCAAAGTATGTGAGATGAATTTCACCATCCTTGTCTCTAAGAAGCACCGTGATCGCACTTCCTCTTGTTCTAGCCTTGTTTGTTCCTTTGACAGTCCATGGGATATTTAGTACTTTTCTCCAACATCACAGCTCAAAGGTTTTGATTCTTCTTCTGTCATCTTTATTCACTGTTTAACTTTAAGATGCACAGGAGATGATGGGAAAGACCATGGCTTGGATTGTTGTTGCTGTTATTTGCTATCCAGTCACCTGTGACTCATAGCGACTCTACGTACAACAGCTCTGAAGCCTGCCCTGTCCTGAGCCAGTCTCGCTGACTGTGACATATCTACCCCTTTGCCCCAGTTATTGTATCGATCCATCTCATCTGGGATCTCCCTTTCCTGCACTGCCCATCCACCCTTTTAAGCATGAAGTCCTTCTCCAAGGAATGGTCTCCTAGCCATGTGCGCAAAGGATGTGAGATGGAACTTTAAAATCCTAGCCTTCAAGGAGAAACTTGGATTAGGTGCACCCTCATCTTTATTATGGCTTGGATTAGGTGCACTTTAATATTTAAACTGACATCCTTGCTCGGCAGCACTTTGAAGAGGCCCCTGACAGAATATTTCCCCAGTGCAATACGTCTTTTGATTTCTTGACTGCTGTGACCATGGGTACTGCTTGTGGATCCAAGTAAAATGAAAGCATTGACAATTTTGATCTTTTCTCAGTCTACCAGGCTTTTGGTCCACTGGTGAAGATTTTTGCTTTCTTCATGTTGAGATGTAATCCATATTGAAGGCTGTAGTCTTTGATCTTCTACAGCAATGCTTAAAGTCCCCCCCCACTTTCTGTAAGTAACATTGTTTCATTTGCATAACACACCTCTCTGATCCTAATGCTACATTCTTCTTCATATAAAACTGGCTATAGAAGGTGTTGTTTCTAAAAACATCTGTGAAAGTGTCTTCTAAATGCAAGACCGGTACACTTCCGAGCAACTCTAATAATAGCATCTCTCTTTCTGAGCAGCACCAACAGCTGTGGGCAACTCTCTTCTTGTCAGATGACATCCACACACGTTTCTGCCCCTTCCCAGGAGCCCCACCTGCTCAGCCAATCTCAGCCCACCTGTCACTTCCAGCCCAGCACTACTTAAGGTGGTTGAAGCACTCACCTGCTAACCAAAAAGTCATCAGTTCAAACCCACTCGTGGCCCCTTCGGAGAAAAGACCTGGAGATGTATTTCTCATAAAGTCTACCATCCAGGAAGGCCTCTGAGGCAATGCTGAGATGAGCTGCAATCCGCTGAATGGCACACAACAATGGATGTAATCCTATTTGAAGAGAGCACTTCCTTTGTTATGTTACTGAGGCCATAACAGTGTCCGAGGTTAATCTCTTTAAGTCATAAAAGGAGAAGATTAGGAAGTCATGTTCCTTAGAATTACCAAGCACATAAAACCAAAAGGGCAGCATTTGGGGTAAAGTTCAGAAGGCAAGAAGACAGTAAAACAACAGGGTGAATGAAGATGAGAATCACAGGAAGAAAGGAAGGAGGAAGAGTGAGAATACACACTGGGATTCAATAATTACTGTTATTAAGCAAAATTTGGATAAGTGGTTGAATGGAAAACCAATTAGCTTTGTAAATTGTCACCCAAATAATAATTTTTTCTTAAAGCAGATTAAGCATAGGAAGGAAAGTAAACATGTCGGGGAGAAGAACTGATGAACAGAAAGAAGCTGAAAAGGGACCTTCCCCTAGAACACCAGGGAAAGGCTTCCCTCCAGAGCCTTGCCCCGAACTCAGACTTCAAGTCTCCTTGCATCCATCCATACCCATCAAGTCTAACTGATTCACAGCTGACCCTCCAGTGGGTTTTCAGAGGCAGTTAACCACACAGGAGGAGTTTGCCCATCCTTCTCCCACAGAGCAGCTGGTGGATTTGAACTGCCTGCCTTTAGGATTGCAGCACAGATTCTTACCATTAAGCCACCAGAACTCCCTACAGTGTTGTTGTTAGTGTTGTTGAGTTGCCTGTGACTCATAGCGACATACATCCTGCTCTATTCTGTGCCAATTTCACTCTCTTCGACACACCTATCCCAATTACCCCAATCACTGAATCAATCCATCTCATTGAGGGTCTTCCTCTCCTGCACTGTCCCTCCACCCTACCAAGCATGACGTCCCTCTCCAAGCACTGGTCCCTCCTTGCAACATGTCCAAAGTATGTCAGACGGAGGTTCTGAATCCTTGCTTCCAAAGAGCAACCAGGTTTCACCCTCTCAAGGATGAACCTGTTTGTTCTCTCAGCAGTCCATGATATATTCAATATTCTTCTCCAACACCTCAGCTCAAAGGCATCAATTCTCCTATCATCCGTAGTCATTGTCCAGCTCTCTGATGCATAGCAAGTGATTGCAAAGACCATGGCCTGTATCGGGCACATCTTAGTCTCCAGACTGACATCATTGCTCTTCAGTACTTTGGAGAGAGGTCTCTGACAGCAGACTTTCCCAATGCAATACATCTTTTAATTTCTTGGCTGCTGGTGCCAAGCACGTTGACTGTGAAGCCAAGCAAACTGAAGCTGTTAACAACCTCAATCTCTTCATCATCTATCATGATGCTGCCAATCGGTCCAGTGGTGAGAATCTTTGTTTTCTTGATGTTGAGCTTCAATCCATATTGAAGGCTGCAGTCCTTGGCCTTCTACAGTAAGTGCTTCAGATCCTCCTCAGTTTCAGCAAGCAGGGTAGAACAGGTAGAACTAAGAAACTATGACAACACCCACTCACTGCTGGCATCTATTTCTGATATTCGAGAGATAGATGCACTTGACCACCACCCTGGGCCTTCACACTGAGATACCACTGTCACCTCCTTGAGCCAAGGTAACTGTAACACTGGGCTCAAGCATATTAGAGATGATAAAGATGGCACGGGATAGGGGAAGGTCCTATCTCTTGTTCATAAGGTCACTATGAACACTATGTTGACTTAGTGGCATAATAGCAACAATAAACCTTACACTACTGCTCCTTTGACCTCTGCCCACGCTGCTTTTATCACCAGGAGGCCCTTGCCAGTAGTCTCAGTTCCAACATGACATCCCTTTCTGACACCTGCGGCCCCTCCCCTCCTTCTGGCTGCCCACAGTGTACCCACGCCTTTTTGCACACTACTTAGGGCCCTCCCTCCCTCCTCTGACTGCGGGTCAGAACCTGGTGCACTTTCTGGGCTGTGTAAGGGCCCAGCATTGGGTGTGGCAGGGAGCAGTGGAATGATTGGATAAAACAGATGGTCACATACTCACCCGAATGTGACTTGAACTTGGAGCCACACACTGGGAAGAGAATGAATATAAAGTTGACTAGGTCAATAGTCGCTAGGTAGGCACCAGTGAAAACCTGGGGAGAGATGAATGAGATGAAAGAAATAGTCCTACCATGCAAACATCTTTCATTAGCATCTCTTGTCCTGGGATCTCCTCTCCCTCAGATGCTACTGGAGGTGGACACAGCACTTCCACCTCTAATAGCCCTGGGATGCCTCCCCCAACTGTGAGAAAGGCCACCAGCCAGTGCCATGAGATTGATGAGGAGGCAGGTGTTTTTACCTGACTGACCCCTAGTCACACAGACACCCACCAGGAGCCTGGGACAAGAGCTCAGCCTACTCTATATACTTCCCACTGTGGGTGTCATCTTTGCTGTGTAACTTTGGCTCAGTCACTGCACGTTTCTGGGTATCAGTTTCCTCATCTGTAAAATGGGCATAAAATGCCCCCTCCAAAGACTGTCAAGCAGATTCCATGACCCAATAAAAGGAACATTCCCAGAAGCAGCACCTGAAGTATACAAAAAATTAAGCGTGTTGTCATCAAGTTAATCCTCCTTAAAATGGTTCAGTAGGGGAGTGGAGAATTGCTCCAGGTCGCCAAGCCTATAATCTTTGTGGAAGCAGACTGGGATTGAAAAGCTGATCTTCTGATTTAACCACTGTACCACTTGAGTTCCTTGGGGAGGGATATAAGCTAATCGACTGCATTGGCTATGACAACAGTCCAGTTAATGGTTCAGAACATGAGTTCTGCAGTATGAATTCTGGTAGAGTAGGAATCATTAGAGGAGTGACCGTAGTAAAGTTAGTTCTCATACCATTAGGATGGTCTGAAGACTGAATGAGTTTCTGTATGAGGCGTCCTTCATTTCCTAAGTTCTTAATAGTCTAGATAACTCTATCTGTCTAGTTGGTTCTGACTCATAGTGACTCCCCAGCGGGTTTCAGAGGTTACAAATTGCACAGGAGGGGAGCGTCATCTCTCTCCTGGGGAGCTGCTGACAGATTAGAAATCCAGAGTAGCGTGGTCTTTGCGTTAACAGCTCCACTCACCATCACTAAGCCATCACAGCTCCCTCGGTCAGGATTGCTGTTGTCAAATGCCATCAAGGCAGCTATGACCCACAGCACCCGTAGGACAACAGCTCTGCACTTGCCCTGCCCTGTCCCATCCCCACCAGCTCCTACATACTTGAGCCCATTGCTATAATCACTGAGTTAATCCATCTCATCGAGGGGTTTCCTCTCTTTCACTGGGTTGTTGTTAGGTGCTGTCAAGTATGACTCATAGCAACCCTATGAACAAAAGATCTGAACCCTGCTCTAGCCAGCTCCAGCCTCACACTTCCTGACACACAAGTCCACTGCAGCAGTTACCATGTCAATCCCCCTGGTTGAGGATCTTCCTCTCCTTCGCCAGCCCTCCACCCATCCCAACATCATGCCCCTCTCTAAGGGATAGCCCCTCCTAGCAACATGTCCAAAGTACGTGAGTCGAAGTCTCATCATTCTTGCCTCCAACGAGCACTCTGGCTGCACCTTCAAGACATTTGTTTGTTCTCTTGGCCGTCCACGGGATGTTCCGTGATCTTCTCCAACACCACAGCTCAAAGGTGTCAATTCTGATTAGCTACTCTTACTCGACTTGATGAGCTTAATTTCATTCCATCAATTAACAAGAACAGGCACCCAAAAAGGAAAGGTGATTTACTTCTGAGAAAATATTAGTCAGCACAAGGTTTATAACCATCCACAGCTGTGTGCTTACCACTCGACTTCCCTGCCTCATAGCAACCTGGATGGGAACAGGCCAGGCCCAGTCCCACGAGGTGCCTTACAGTGTGCACCACTGACCCAAGAGGCTTTCCTTAAGACCTATGTTTTGGGATAGCTGTGCTTGACAACTTAGAGTTTTAGAAAACTCAAAATTTTCCCTTCCACACATGCTCCCAAAGCCCACATCACACACACAAAAACAAATCCAGGCAAAGTATGAGGTGCTCTGGTGGTAGAGATGGATCACAGCGTCAAGCTCAAAATCACGTCAAGCTCAAAATCAAAGGAGGATTTATTGAGATGACATCTGTGCAGGTCCTGACGGAGGTGAGCAGTGAACCTTGGGCCATCAGGAGGGGCAGAAAGAACAAAGGCCTGGACCCTGAGGCAAGACTGCGTCTCACATGCTGAAGAACAACACAGAAGTCAAGTCACCACAGCTTCTTCTGAGAAAGGCCTATCTCGCCTGAGTTTGACGGAGCCACTGTCACCTGTGGGCCTGACATACCTGGATGGTGAGCTGTCTGGCCAGCACAGCCCCCACGGTGTCACACAGGCTGGTCAGGAGGCAGCATGCGGCACACAGCGCAGACTGGTCCTGTCTGGACTTCTTTGTACATCTCAGATAGAGAAGCCTGCATGACAGAGAAGGCGTGGTCAGAAGCTGCACTTTGGGGACAGGCCAGGCAGGTATCTTAAGAGGACAACTGTGACTTCGTGTACTTACAGAGCATCTGTGCTCAGGTAATCAGCAAGTATTTCTGAACTGAGTTTATAGGTGGAAAAAGAAAAAAGGTCGAAAGACTTCTGAATCTCTTGTCAAACTCCCACGCCCCTCAGAAAACAGGGGACCGCACCCCTCTAATAAGAGGAATCCCCTTCCTCCCACAAACCCTGGAGTCCCAATTTAATGACTACCCCGTTCCCAAACACAGACTAGCTGCCAGGTTTTGTAGTTCAAAGGAGTAAGGGCTAGAAAAGAAACCCAATTCGTGTAGCCAAACTGTAGAGAAGTTTGACCCAAGACTAAGGCAAGCATGAGTTCACCTGCGTTTGCAGTATTCTGTAGTGAATAATCTCGCATTTCCCCCCACCAGATCCAAGAGTCTGCGGGAGGTAAGGCTGGCGTCTGTCTCCCTCCCCGTCCCAAAGCACCTTCCTACAGAATCAAAGTCTCTTCCCGTTTGCCATCCCTGACAGGGACGACGCGGATTACCTAGCACACAAGGAACACCTGAGTTTACTCGGAGTGAAGGTTTTCTCCTGGGCTTCCGCCCCTGAACTGGTCCCAGCGCCCAGCGTGAGCGGAATGGGAAAGCTGAGGAGCAAACCCGGCACTGGTTTCCCGTCCAGGGGCCCCAGCCATTGCCCACCCAGCCGCCTCCTGCTGGCACGCAGCCCGGGCCCCGTGTGTGCGGAATCCGGAAAGAAGTATCCGACTTGAGAATACAGAGCAGGGCTCGTTTCGGTCCTGGAACTGTGCATCCCCGTGTCCCTCCCCCTTCCCTGCCGGTTTCCAGGAGGGAGCCTGCAGAGTGGTGTCCCCCCCACGGCAAAGCCGGTCTCCCACCCTCGCGGCCCCGGGGCCCGGTTCCTGGTTCCCATTACAGCGTGTGGGAGGCGATCCAGAAGGAGGAGGCGCAGATCCAGAGGCCGAAGGAGATGCAGACGCGGTGGCGGGCGAAGCAGTGGTCCAGGTAGTCCC